CTAGAAGTTACATTTCTTGTAGAATTCCATGATCCAGTAGCTTTGTACACAACATATAAGTTTCAAAGCAGCAAATCCAGCTGCTTTTACCAATGCCTCGTATTCTTTCTCCGTCCTCTCTTTCCCTCCGGGATTCAGTGTCAACATAACCATGTCGGAGCCAATAATAGTTTGAGACAATAAATCAGTCTCCGGGTACTCCGGCAGTATTGATTCGACCGCTATCACCTTACCGGAATCTGGAAGTGCATTCCAACAATTCTTCAATAGCTTCAAGCAGTGATCATCACTCCAGTCATGAAGTATCCACTGTGAATATGTTATGTAGCAAGTTACAGAAGAATGAGTCACGAAATTTATGGGACTTTTTGGTAGTTGTAGGTTTAGGTACGAAATAGGGGTGTAATTGAGCATGTTAACCATAATTCAACCTAAAATATTCAATACGTGAGAAAAGATTTCAAATACTCAAGTTGGAACTAGTTACAAAGGAGTAGAACCAATTTAAATTCGAAAAACACTGGGGTTGAGATCTAGGGTTTGGGAGGGGGGGGATCGAACTCCAACGCTTCCATTCGTGAGCAACTTTCACGAACATTGTGAAAAGGGGAAAGGACGGTCGTTCGTGCATTTTTCGGAAATGACGAAAATATACTTCAGTGCCTTGAAGGCGATAATGTCTTACGAATTCAGGTTCAAAAGAATTCGATCTTAGTTTCTAGCCAAGTAGTGCAACCAAAAAATCTATCCTTCACTAAACTGACTTTCAACCCGATTTTAAACTCAAAAAATTGGACTTGGATTTCAATTTGACTATATTTTTGGGTAAGGGGGGAAATTCCTAGTTTGTCTCGGCGAGTAAAGCCACTCTTATGTCGCTCAGACTCATGAGTGCGAGTTAGACTAAGGGCAAACCCCTAGTGCATAAACCGGTCCCTCAACTTATGCACCAGTTAAATCAGAACTAGCATTTCGGTGAAGATTCGAAGTCATACCAAAGACTTAGATACGGTTCGTCTAAGTAATAAAAGTCTGTCCTATCAATCAATCACTCTTTTTGTCACCCAGAGGACTTGAATCCTTGATATCAAGAAAGTAAAATTTTCATAAGACAAGTGATACAATTTTAAACATTGTAGCATAAGCAATATGTACTCCAATTGGAATTGGATTTGGTTTGAACTCAGATGGAGAGTATTATAACTTGAGTTAAGTTGGTTATCGCCTCAACCAGTCCAAACTACACCCATATTTGAAGAGGGAAATCATGGGCCTTCCCCCCCNTTTGATGACCTAATTTAATGTAACCAATGGATTAATTGTGGATTTCGATATTAGACAAAGTGCACCTTTAATCCAACAGCTGCAATTAATTAAGTCTAAATAATATTTTTCATATTTCTTGGTACAAAAGAACAACTTTGCAGCAAGAATGTCACTCAAATCGTGCCAAAACACTTGATATTAGTCCCCATGAACTAAAAATCAACTTAATCAACATGCTACCAAAAACTCTGATTCTCTAAATATTAGTTCAGTATCTTATCAAGATACTGATTCTCTAAATATTACCAAAAATTCTGATTCTCTAAATATTAGTTCAGTATGTTTTCGGATATTACATCTGATTGTTGGATCTAACTTACACACATGTTCACAAAAAAAGAGAGAGAAAAGAGAGGACAAACCAACAGTTAATGACTACTTTGTCTTGAAGAAGGAGTACAGAGGGAGAGAGAGAAACTCCATGCTGATCTCGGACAAAGTATTTGCAAATAGGTGTCAACCCATACGATCTTTTTGCATCTCCGCTTTCATCTCTGTTGAGAGTGCATGTGAGGATTGAGTTGCTAGCAAGAAACCGAAGCATACGATCGAGCATCACTGGGGCTTCGGGATTTCGAGTGGGAAGTTGCGAAGCAATCTCGGAAGAGGAGAGTCGGCGGCCACCTGGAGAAGTTTTGGCCATGATCTCGAATAAATCGAGCTCGATTGCAGCTTTTAGAACCATCGGAAGAACTGCGCCGATGGGAAATCGCATCGCCGTCAAGAATTCTTCGTCTTCATCGGACAGTTTGATTTGGGGTTTGGAGGTAAGCATATTCGAATTGTGTGTGTGTGTGTGTGTGAGAGAGAGAGAGAGAGAGAGAGAGAGAGAGGACTATGTTATGTTGATGATGAGCAAATGGGGATTAATAGAGACCAACACATTGATTAAGTAATGCGATAATTGTTTGAGAGAGAGAGAGAGGGAGAGAGAGGGAGGTATTGGTGAAAAATGGAATCAAGTAGTTATAAATGAATTCGTTGTGTTCCTCGTATGGTAGCACTTCAAGTGGAACAACATCACTCTCTTGTTATTGTCATTTTTTTATATTCAAAATAGTATTATTTTTTGGGAAAACAAAGGAATATTTGTAGGAGAATAATACTCATGCCCCTCTCAAGGTCGAGCCGAAAATGTATGGGCTTTAATGGTCATTTATTTTAAAGGTCAATTTAAAAGTTGGTATAATTTTTTAGATTTATTTAAATAAAAGTATAATTTAAAATTTTATTTTGGGTAAAGTATATATATTTTTAAAATATCACTATTGTCATTGGTAAACAGTAAATATATGGAAACTCATTATCTTTCATCCGTTTTTTTGGATTAAAATTAAGTGGGAGATAAATAGGAGATTTAATTATCAAAACTCATCTTTTTCGGCAGAGTGATTGAAATGTCAGAACTGTGACTATTCATTGTCCAAAAAAAAGAGGAATACGAGTTACTATTCATCGTTAAAAAAAAGAAGAATCTGAGTTGCTGTTTATCATCCAAAAAAAAAAAGAAGAATACGACTTATTGTTCATCGTGTCCTACAGTCAAGTAACTGTGAATCATCTTTAACAACTTCTTCACCGGAAATTGAAGGTGACATTCATTTTTGTTTTTTTATCATTCATTAATTTTTTTTTTCACAATCTGTGTTGTTTGATTTTTTGATTAAAAATAGTTACATAATTGTTTTAAGTAACTATTTGTGCTCACAAATTACAAACTGTTAATATTCAAAAATTAATGGTTGAAACTATATTGACACAGTTACACTCATTAAAAATACAGTTGCACACATTAAAACACAGTTACACCCATTAAAATAAAACTAATTTTTTTTCCCCTTCATTCCAACATCGAGCAAATATAAAACAAAATTGAACATAAGAATTTTTCAAAAAAAAGACCAAATAAAATAAGAAATATACTTATTATGTCTATACGAAAAAATAGTTACACCCATTAAAAACAGTTTTACCCATTAAAATCAAAAGCAATTTTTTTCCCTTTCATTCCAACAACGAACAAACATAAAACAAAATCTCATTTCCAAAAAAAAATGACCGAATAAAAGAAGAAGTATATTTATTATGTCTATAAGAAAAAAAAGTTACACTCATTAAAACTAAACACAATTTTTTTTTCCCTTTATTCCAACAACGAACAAACATAAAACAAAATCGAACAAAGTTATTTCCAAAAAAAATTGACCAAATAAAATAAGAAATGTACTTATTTTGTCTATAAGAAAAAATAGTTACACTTAAAACCAAATGCAATTTGTTTCCCCTTTCATTCCAACAACGAACAAATATAAAACAAAATCGAGCATAGGAATTTTTCAAAAAAAATGATAAAATAAAAGAAAAAATATAATTATTAACAACTAATTTTTAAGTCGACGACGGTGATTGATATTTACAATTAATTTTTTCCAATAAGTCCACCACCGGAGAAGTAATCGACCATTGAATAAGACTCTTACTGCAATGATTAGTGTTTTTTTCTAACAAACTACAAAGACATTTGAAGATTTTTTGTATTATTGCATAAACTTTTTATTTTACTATAGAGATCAGTTGAACACAGACTTTTACTGCATAAAAACTGCTCATTCAAAATTCAAAAATTAAAGATAAAAAATATGTAATCTTTTCATATTAGTTTCCTCAAATAACTGTCAATGATGACTGCATAAATTAAAGAAGAATGTTTAAGTAAAAAATATTTTAATTCATTTGAATTTTGTACCTAAACACAAAAAATTTTATAAAAATTGTATTTAATAGAATAAACAACTTATCTATACATTTTTGCCTAAATAAGTCTAAAAAATTGTACTCACACCTAAAACATCTTATTTTAAAATTTAGATCTATAGTGCAGTTCGTATACGCATACACATTTATTAAAGAACAAAAAAAAATTAACATTCGGTAACAAAGAATAATAAATATTTTTCTCTCTCTTTTTTATTTTGTTCTCATTTTAATATAAAATACCAACTAATTAAGCTATTTATTCTCATAAAGATCCACAATAAAAATTAATTAATATATCTATATAATAAAATATAATACAATTCAAATTTCAAAAAAAAAATAATTTTTAATTTTCATGGTTGAGATCTCTTTAAATTTTATTTTAAAATTAATCCGATGGCTAATATTAACACCTCAAATTTAATAGGAAAAATGGACCTCTAAAGGCATGTTTGAGGTAACTTTTTAAAAATACTTTTAGGACTTATAATTTCTTATAAATACTTTAAAAAAAAAATACTATTTAAAATTATCCCACCATCACCACTACTTCTATTACTACCACCACCACCGTCACTCCACCACCACCACCATCATTGTCGTCACTCCACCACCACCATCACCTCTACCACAACAACCACCCCCACCGCCACTATTGCTATCATCGCCACCACTACTACCACCCCATCACCACCTCTTCCATAACCACTATCGCCACCCCCACCATTACCCCACCATCCTCCTACCACTACCACCACCCCCACTGCCCCACCACCACCATCACCGTTGTTATCCACGACTGCCACCATTATAATTGGTCATCGTCATCTATCACAATCATTACCGTTTTTCATCACCACCACCACTGCCCACCACCACTACCACTGATTGTACTTCACTATAATCGGTGTTTAAATTTATTTTTATCTCTTCTATCTTTATAATTTGATTTTGAGTATGAATACAAATATATTTATTATTGACTAATTTTTTTTATTATTTTGTACCTTCAAGTACGGGAAATAACTAATATATATATAAACTTTCAATAAGGTTGTTATCATAGCAAATAAAATATAAAAAAATATTAGATGAACGTTACATACATAAACAAGTTAAAGATCATAAAAAACTTAAAGATAGTAAAATAATTTAATAAAAAATAGCAATGAATTATGAATGTAGTTATATTGATAGTCGAACATGTATTTATATTATATGTGTGTGAGAGAGAGAGAGAGAGAGAGATAGAAGAGGAGGGGAGGAGGGGGGGAGGTTTTGCTGACAAATGGAGTCAAGTGATAAAGAATTTCGGGAAAAAAAATTGTGCGGAAGGTGGTTATATGGGTTGTGACAATGAATTCTTTATGTTCCTTATAGCACTTCAAGAAAACAAAAGAATATTTGTATGAAAATAATGTTATGAGATTTAAAAAATTGATATAATTTATTAATATAACGATGTGTCAAATCATATAGTCTCAATAAAAAAATTCCAATTGGACCTAAAAAAACCGTGGAGATCCATCCACCAACAAATATTTGATAGAATGGTGCACAACATAAATGTTGTGAATACATTAGCCGTAATGTTAGATACATGGCATGGCGTACATTATTTATTTTCACAAGGTCTATATGTTGTATTTTATTATTAGGATCGCGAGCATGGATTGGCTCTCATGGACCAATTAGACAACAACAGTTTTGGCGGGAAAAGTTTTTTTGGGAAGAAAAGATTCGATTATGAGGCTAAGGGATATGCTTTTTTTAGTAAAAGGGTATTACATACAATATAGTTCAGTACACTAATTAATGCATTTGCATTTGGTTTTAGTGCCCCCTTGGCCTCTTAAGGCCTGCCAGCATGTGCTGGCAGGGTCACAGTTGCATAGCATCTTGAGCTGAAGATGCTGTGTTCGTGGTTTTTGTCGATGATTATTACAAAAATGGCTAAACGAAGTCAATAACTTTACTTTGGGTACTGTCTGGTGACACTTTTGTTCAATTATTTTTCTTGCTTTTTTGCTTTTTTGCTTTTCTAAAGTACTTTGAGTGAAGTGATGTTTATTTTTTGCATATTTGATATTTTACTTGTTCCTTGTCCAGATTTTCTTCTTTCTGCTAATTTGAATCACATGTATAACAACAGTACATATATTTACATATGTAACTTTGTTATTTATATATGGATGACATTTATTATATAGTGCTCAACTAGGGGTGTCAATTTTCAACACGACACGAACTAAACACGAAATTAATGGGTTTGACGAGAAATTAAACAAGTTAATAGGCACTACAACAAATTTATTTTTTAGCAACGAGTTGAAGATGTTTCTCTCACTTAACTGTATATTCTAGTTTTAAAGGGAAATATATCTTCAAAAAATGTAGCATTTCTAGACTCAATTATTGTATTGTTTAAAATGTCACTAACTTCTGAATTGACTACTAAGAACCTATTAGCACTACTATTTTGAGTGTTTCTACACTCTTATATGCTTTTCTAAGTTATTTTGCTTGTACACAAATTTCACGTGTGTTTAAAATCTATCAAAAATTTGGGAATAAGATTAAGGTCCACCATCTTTTTAATTTTCTTAAAACCCACATGTCTCAATCTTTCATGTCATACATTGCTAGATTCAACATTAAAAACTTGAGAAGAAATTTAATTGCCTTCAATAATTACATTCAATTTAAATAACTCATAACAAACATATCATTTGCCAACAAATACATCATTTTTAGTTATTACAACTTTATTTAACTCCATTACAACCTTGTTGGATTAAGGATGACCCACTAATCAAATTTTTTCTAATTTCGGGAACATGTCGCACTCCCTTTAGAATCATTGTCTTCCCTAATGTTATTTTTAACTCTATGTTTCCAATTCCAAGCAGGGCCGGCCAACCCTTAGGCAACTAAGTTGTTTTCCTAGGACCCCAAATTTTAGAGGGCCCCCAAATATTTATCCCTTTAGTATAGTAGGCCTAATTTTTTATTTTTTAT